TGGGAGGCAGAGGCAGGCGGATCTCTAAACTCGAGGCCAGCCTAGTTTACAAAGAGAGTTCCAGGGCAGCCAGAGCTAAACAGCGAAACCCTGTCTCTAAAAACCTGTAGTGGTATTTCATTTTATTTTAATAAATAAAACTAGACTGAAGTTCAGAGAGTAAAACAGCCACACTGGCCAGCCTTACAGACCAGGCTGCAACAACACACACCTTTAATCCCAGTAGCCACACTAGTTTGCCATAGAAACCCGGTAATGCATGCCTTTAATGCCAGAACTAGAAATGATTATAAAACAGGAGGAGAGAGAGTTGCACGGAGGTTTCGGCTGACAGATGCCGGCCAATGGTTCCTTGTTGGGATCCCGACTCTAGCCCAGGAGCAGTCTCGTAGCTCGATCACCCAGGAAGCGAAATTGTAAGCGAACTAAGAGAAACATGTTCAGTTGGGTTTGGGATGCTGTTCGCAGCTGGAAATGGAGAATGGACTGTAAGACTAGACTTCCAACCTGCCCAGCCTGCCCTCCTTTCAGTTTTTTCATATTGGTATTCCGGGTTTGGACTGCGCTGGGAAGAAGACAGTTTTGTACAGGCTGCAGTTCAATGAGTTTGTAAATACCATACCTACCAAAGGATTTACCACTGAGAAAATTAAGGTAACCTTGGGCAATTCCAAGACAGTCACTTTTCACTTCTGGGACGTAGGTGGTCAAGAGAAGTTAAGGCCACTGTGGAAGTCATACCCGATGCACAGATGACATCGTGTTCGTAGTGGACTCTGTCGATGTGGAGCGAAATGGAAGAAGTCAAAACGGAACTTCATAAAATAACTAGGATATCAGAAAATCAGCGGGTCCCTGTGCTTATAGTCGCTAACAAGCAAGACCTGAGGAACTCACTGTTAGCAATGGGGGAACTGAGCTCGCTGACCCCTTGGCACCTGCAACCCACCTGTGCAATCATAGGAGACGGACTAAAGGAAGAACTTGAGAAACTACACGATATAATTAAAAGAAAAATGTTGTGGCTACAAAAAAAGAAGAGAATGGTCGTGCCCTTCGTGTGGATGTAGAATGGTTTCCTAGGGCTGGTTCTGACGAGTTGAGGAGTGTACAGCCTAGTTTGCCTGTCTGCCCTCCCGGACACTATTAAAGCTTTGTTTGGTTGAACAGTCAGATACCCAACTTTGTTGCCTTGGAGAAGATGTATAAATGCAATGCTTCTTAAAGTGGTCTCTTCTCCCTGACCTACAGATCTTTTGGTACTACCATTTTTGGAAGTCAAAAAAGTCTGGTAATTGGCCAGAAAACAATTTTTGTGGAAATATTTGACCTGAATTAGTGAAATAAAACTTTAAAGAGTGAAAAAAGCCCAACAACAATAACAACAACAAAAAATGTGAGGAGACAGCTCTCAGACAGTCTCATTCTGAGATTCTTGGGAGGCAGAATCGCCATTTCATACTGAGGTAGAGGTACGAGCCAGTGGCTAGCTGTTTTACTTTTCAGACCTTCAGGTTAAATCCCAATTTCTGACTCTGAGCTTTCAAAGACGACAACAACAACAACAACAACAACAACAAAAAAGAGGACTTTTTCAGTTTACCAGGTCTGCACATGGTGCACATTCATGCATACATGCAGGTGAAGCATAAAATTTTAAAAATGTTACTTTATGCCAGTGGTGGCAGGCAGAGGCATTAGGATCTCTGAGCTCGAGGTCAGCCTGGTCTACAAAGGGAGTTCAGGACAGCCAGGGCTACACATAGAAACCCTGTCTCTAAAACTATTTCATTTGTAAGGGAGACTGCCATGATAACTGTGTAGTTAGAGGACAATTTATGGCAATCTGTTCTCTCCTTCCACCATGGGGCTCTGGAGGTCAAACTAAAGTTGTCAGGCTTGGTAGCACCTTACTGGCCCTGGATACTTAATGATTTGCAAAGACAGCAATGGGGGAAGGTTCAATGCAGACCCTTGGGTGACCTCAAGAGGATGACGCACAGTGACATGAACTCATGAAAGGGGATTAAAAGTAAGATGTGGTGCATGGGCTCAAAGCTTCACTCTACCACTTGCTTACCCTCGAAGATTCAGCTCTCCCACTGCAAAGTGTAGATTAAGTGGTAATACCTCTTGCTGATGTGAAGATCAAATTACTTATTCCTATATAAAGCTTTCAGGATAGGATCAGGGGTGTTAGCCAGTAAAAAAAAAACAAAAACAAAAACAAAGAAACTCACCAGGTGAAAAAAACAAATCACAAGGCACATAGCAATTATGGTATGAAAGCATGGATCAAGGAGTGGGTAAGAGCATTCACTACAAGTCTGATTGGCTATTTCACTGGCAAGTCCATCTACCCTGTTTCTGAAGCAAAGAATTCTTTGCTGGTGTTCGTGCCCACTTCTTTGGCATCCCAAAAGACTGGAAACTGGCAGCTCTCTAGGACTTCCCTGGGACTCCAGCATCAAACTGGGACTGTTGAGACATCCAGTGAACCGACAACCTCCAGATCTTTGATCTTTCCCTCAGGAGATGGATATTGTTGGACTACTTAAGCCTGTAGGCCACTCTAATAAATGGCTTATACACACACACACACACACGCACACACACACACACATTGTTGGACTACTTAAGCCTGTAGGCCACTCTAATAAATGGCTTACACACACACACACACACACACCTATATATATGTCTATCTAATTTTCCCTATTTGTATTTGAGCTAGCCTCAAGTACAAGCAGTAAACAACAAAGACACCAAATCTCAAACAAGGTAAAAGGCTAGAACTGACAGCCAAGATTGTTGTCTGATCTCCATAAGTAGGTTCACACATGAATTCAAATGCACACCATGGTATATGGAAGTCTACCCCCTGCCACATGCACACACATGAAAATAAGAAAAATGTAACAAAAATTTAAATCCAAATAGTATATATGTAAATATATACTTATATACGTGGGTGTTATGGCTATTCTTTGTTGTCAACTTGATTACATTTGGGATTAATTAAAACTCAAGCAGCTGGGTATACTTGTCAGGGATTTTCTTTCATGATTAAATCATTTGAGGTGGGAAGACCACCCTAAACCTTAATATTTTGGGTTGGGAAGAGCCACCTTTAATCTGGGCCATCCCTTCTGACTGGCAGTTCATATAAAAGCCAAGAAGAAAGAAGCACTTGCTCTTTGCTTGCTCACCCACACTCTTCCTGCAAGTCCACTTCTTTGCTGGCATTAGAACTTACTTCTTCAGGATTCTGGCATATAACTGAAGGCTAGCTGAGAAATCCTGCCTCAGATTCTTGGACTTTACCCTGAGACAGCCACTGTTGGAATAGTTGGATCATAACCGTAAGCCTCCCTAATATATCCTGTGTGTTTGTTTGTGTGTCTTCATTCTATCAGTTGTTTCTCTACAGAACGCCAGTACAGTGAGTTTTTAAAAACAGATCTACGTAGCCCATTGTGCTACTTTTCTCACTCCTATAACAAAATACCCGATAAAAGCAATTTTAGGATTTTACCAACTAGCTACATACCCAGCTGCCTTTCACTTTTTCAGATGGGGTCTCTTGCTTAGATTGGTCCTACTTTTGCCACTCAAGTAACTTTATTTGTTTTTACAAGTATGTATGTGTTTCTGTGAGTGCTTAGATGTGGAGGGTAGAGGACAACCTTGAGTGTCATTTTAGAAACACAATCTACCTCCTTTTAGACAGTCCTTGGCTTAAAGCATATTAAGCTAGACTGGCTAGCTAGCAAGCCCCAGACATCTTCCTACCTCTACCTGCTAAATGCTGAGATTAAAAGTGTACACCTGACGGTTGGTGGTGGCACACGCCTTTAATCCCAGCACTTGGGAGGCAGAGGCAGGGCAGATCTCTGAGTTTGAGGCCAGCCTGGTCTACAAGAGCTAGTTCCAGGAAAGGCACCAAAAACTACAGAGAAACCCTGTCTCGAAAATCAAAAAAGTATACACCAGCACAAATTATGTAAGTTCTGGAGATCAGACTCGGGTCCTCATGCTTGTAAGGCATAAATTTTACTTATTTCCCCACTTAAAAAAATTCAAACCAAAAAACATTCTTCATAAATTACTGAGTCTCTTGTATTTAGCTAAAGCTACAGGAAACACAGATAGCCTTCCTTCCCTGTCCAAACTCTGGCCATATTGTGAAGTAAGAGGAGATGAAGACAATGCATGTGTAGGCGGTCACAGCTCCTGGCAATTTCTTCAAAGCAAAAGAGAGAGGAGAGAGAGAGAGAGAGAGAGAGAGAGAGAGATCAGATCATACTAAAGTAGGCATGGTGGTACTGGACCTTTAATCTCAACACTTGGGACGTGGAGGCAAGAGTTCAAGGTCATGGGTGTTACACAGTGAGTTTCTAGGCTAACCTGGTCCACCGGAGACTCTCACGACAATGATTTTTATTTAGCATAGTTTTACTGTTTGTCCAGCTACTGTTTATAGACCCAATTTGTTGAGTTTCTTTGCTAGTGGGGACTATGTCTTAACCCTAGTTTTGGTGGAGATATTGAAACCATTGTAGAGGCTTAGGAGAGTAAAGAAACTTGTCCAGGTCCTTCAGCTGTGGTGGGCAAGTATTCCACCCAGTCTTGTGAAGCCAGACTCTGGTCCAGTTGTGTATCTACTCTCCTTATTCAGGTTAAGGGTTTATGAGGGTGACAATACTCATAGGATCTCTGCCCATCGTTGACCCAAAGCCAACAGCAGAGCTCTGGGTCCCATTCTACTAGGCTACTCCTCCATCATGACTTCAGCAGATTTTTGAGACAGGGTCTCATGTAGCCAAGGATGTCCTGGAACACCTGATCCTTTTGCCTCCATCTTCCAAGTGCTGAGATGTCACGTGTGCGGCACCAGGTCCAGCCTCCAGTCACTCTTGAGCTCCCCTGCAGGGAGCCACATACAGGACTGTAACCACCAGATACCAGCTCTTCCTCATGATACAACTTTCACACAAGTATGACAGCAACAAAGCAGCACTGAAGTTTTTATTCATGTGACCTGTTAAAAATGGGCATCTATACCAGTGTCAAAAGAGGGTGGAAAGGAAGGCAGGGTAAGCAAGGAGGAATTCCCGTCTACTGGTAATAAAGCTCCAGGTTCATTCCATCATGGATTTCATCTGAAGACAGGTATTAAGGAATTTTCATTGAGGGCTGACTCTACCCCTCTAAACACTCACAGCTGGATCCTGGGCTCAACACTCAACCCTGGACTAAGGAAGCAACTTTGGAATGGGCACTTTGATCTACGAACTCAAGCTATAAATAATGTAGAGTGACCCTGAAGAGCACTGAGAAGGCAAAGTTGTTTGCCACCAAAGCCTGGTGTGGAGCCAGATTTTCAGGTGCCCCCCCATCACACAGACAACAATACATTTTCTTAAATGTTCATACTCAGGTTGGAGACAGAGCTTGCAGTTGAAGAGCACTCATGGCTGCTCTTCCAGAGGAACTGGGTTCAATTCCCAGCACTCACATGGTGGTTCCAGGGAACCTGAAGCTTTCTTGCCAGCAACAAGAATGCATGTGGTGCATAGAACCTCACCCCCAATTTTAAAAAATCATACTGGTTGTCAACTACAGTCACATCTGAGTTACACTCCGCCTTCACTTCCTGTCCAACATCCATGTGGTGCTCAGTCATAAATATTTTAAACCTGAATGTTAAAATCCTTCTGAACCAAGTTAAACTATTCTACCACCCTCCTCAACAACAAAATAATTCCATAGTACCCATTTTCTCAGTAGTCACAACAGGCCACATTTTAAGTTAAATATCCCACTTTCTTAATTTCTCTACAGGTTTCAGTATAGAACCAGAACTGAAAAGGATACAATCTCCCAGAGACACGTGGTCCTTAAAAATCGTGTACCTAAGGGATAGATACAGTTCAGAGAGAAGCTGCTTTGGTGGGTGGGGTGGGCTTTTGTCTTGAAAGCAAGCTGAGCCTTCATTGGGGTTGCCTGAGGCGCTCCCCCAACCGAAACCTTCTAGCCTAATGCGGACCAGCGCACTTACCACTTTTTAAGAACGATCTTATTCCAACGGGTGCCAGTTTGGGCCGCTATTAGTTTCTTCAAGTCCCCGATGGTGTCATCGGTGCTGGGCACGAAGGAGTTAAGGTAAATGGAAGGAATAGAATGAAGAAGACGATATTAGGCCTCCCCATCTACGTCATTTAACTACAATGTCCCCACCATTGCCAACTGCCCCAGAGACCACTGCCAGTCACTCCTCGGTGGATACTTGCACTTGACGCGGACTTTCTTTCCTAGACGGTCGTTGCAAACCACCTCAATCATTGTGGCTGGACCTACGCCGGGTGGAGGGAGAGGAGGGAAGGCAGCAGAGTTAGGATTTTTGCGGGTCGCCCAGACACCCAAGGACCTTTCCCGAGTTAAGTTCTTTGTTCACACGACCCCGAACACCTGACGCAAATCCGCGGCATCCCTGGTCCAGGGTCTCAATGGCGGGGATCATAGACAGTCGCGTCTCTGCCCCTTAACTACCGCAGGCCCAGCCCCGCACCCTCTGGCTTCGCCTCCCACATCCCTTAGCCTCCCGAGTCTCAGCCGCTTCCCTTGATCCCGGGCCTCTCGGCTTAGCTCGCTCACCTCTAAACCCCTCGAACTTATCGACGACACAACTCCTAGCTCGAACGCCGAGCCCTGGCCCGCTTTAAGGCTAGCAACAGGAAGCGGAAGTGCTATAACGGAAATACCCGCCCTCAGTTGCTTCCAGGTTCCGGGCTAGCAAAGATTGGCGATTGTGTGGCGCAGTTCTGATGAGCCGAGGCTGGGTAAAAAGACTGAGATTAAATGACGATCCTTGTGGATTTACAGCCGACGTTGAAAGCGGTGTTGAGATCCCTTCGTTATGGAGGAGACCCAAAGGATCCTCAGAGGCGAGGTGCTCTGCCATCCCCAAGCCAAACAAACCTACCGCAGAATCCCGGCTGCGGAGGGGCGGAACTGGAGTCATGCAGGTCCTGTGGCTTTCGGGCTCTCTGCTTTCATTCAAAGCTCAGTCTTGGGCCCTGTGCCCGCCTTTCCCCTCTGACCCGAGTAACTGTTTCCGAGACCCTAGTGGTGCAGACCGCAGTTGATGAAAGCTAAGCCGGAAAGCCCTGTTGCACACCACACCGTACGTCCGTGTCTTGCCTGCGAAGATGCTGGAAACAGCATACCAGAAAAGATCTTCTGTTGTTGTTGTTTTGTTGGTTTTTTTTTCTTTGATCTTCAAGGAGCACCTTGTTCCAGATTACAGAATCGCGATAGGTGATGGGAGAGAAATCACGTCCTAAATTCAACCAGTTTTCATCTCTATTGAACGATTCCTTTAGCAGACAGGACTCTCAGTAAGGTAAGCACATATTGACTCATTTTTTTAAAATTAGCTTAAATTTTTTAGGGATAGGGTATCGATGTATCGACCAAGCTGACTTCGAAATTGTGATACTCGTGTCCAGCCTCGGAAGTTGCTGGTAATGTATAGGCCTGTGTGTTAGAAGCCAGCCTGGTCTATTGTAGCGAGTTCCAGGACAGAACTTTGTAGAGAGACTGTTGTTTCAAAAGAAAAGAAAGAAAGAAAGAAAGAAAGAAATCTACCAGAGCCTTGTGGACTTAGCTAATACCACTTATACAAAATTTATCCTTATGCGTAGGCAGCAAAAAGCATTACTTTCCCTTTTTATTGGGGCTTGTGGCCACGCCTTCCTGGCTTGGCAGGCCTGCTGGCCCCTCAGCCTCACCGCTTTTACACTTTTTGTTCTGGAATGAAGTCCTGGTTCGCGTCCTTAGAGTTTTAATCTGTTCCATCCTCTCACCGATGCCTCGTTTCCGTTTCCAAAATACTTCCCAGGCTCTATCGACACTCATATTGGAGAGTAAGCCACAGACTTGCGCAGACGTGGGGTTTCTTTCTCTTTTCTTTCTTTCTTTCTTTTTTCTTTTCTTCCTCCTCCTCCTCCTCTCCTCTTCCTCCTCCTCCTCCTCCTTTTTTTTTTTTGGTGTTGGAGATCGAACCTAGAGCCTTCTAGCATGTAGCCAAGGGCTCTCCCACTGAGCTGCACACCTAGCTCCTTGCTCATCCATTGCTTCTGCCTCCAGCGATGTTTTTTAGGGTTTCGTTCCAGGTCTTAACCACCCCTCCAGTCCTGACTGTCCCCCCAACCCCTCCCTGTGCCGCCCACCCATTCCAAACTTGACTGACTTTATCCCCTGTATCGGACCTTGTTCCGCCTAATAGTAGGCTTTACAAGTTTGCTCTTTGGCCCCCCGGTTCTTTCTTGATACACCTCTGAGCCCCTTCCCACTCAAGTCACGATTTCTCGGCTTGCTGCTGTTAGCTTTCCCCTGCCTTCTGGGCATACGATCTGCTCCCAGGCCTGTAGAGATTGCCTTGATCAGGTCCCTAAACCTCTTCCAACTCAAGTACAGCCTTCTGAGCGCGCCCTTGACTCTGCGCGCCCCTTAGTCTCTTTCTGCTGAAGCTACGCCTTCCTGTGGTGCCTGACTGCCTGCTGCTCCTCTGCCCCTGGCTACATCCGTCCACTCTGTCAAGGCTTTTCACTCCCCAAACATGCCCCCCACCACTGTCTCTCGCGCGGCTGTCTCTGTCTCCCCCTCCTCTTCGCTCCCCTAAAGCCCCGCCTTTGGGGTTTCCTCAGCGTCGTCCCCTGGGCCTGGCCACGCCCTCGAGCCACACCCCCCCTGCCGGAGCCTCGTCTTCTAGGCTTTCCGAACCTCGTCTGCTGGCCTCGGCTTGCCACGTCTCCTGGCTCTGGCTACGCCCTGAGCCCCCTCCTTGCCGGAGCCACGCCTTCTGGGTGGCCCCCTGGCCCCCTCTGCATTTGCTGCTTGTATTTAGCGACACTTCTTGGCCACGCCTCAGAGACGCCCCTAGCCCGAGCCCGCCTTCTGGGTTTGCTGTCCGCCTTCCACCCTGGCCCTAGCCACGCCTCGTGTCCCCTCCTCACTCAAGCCACACCTCGGTTTGCCTCCCCCTCAGCCTCACCGCTGCTCAAGTCTGGCCTACTCAGTCTCCAGTCCCTGCCTCCAGCTGGTCTTCCAGCCGGGCGGCCCAGTTCCGGGGCCTCAGCCTCCTCCCTAGAAAAGGAAAGTAGTGCTCCTCTGCAGGCGTCCGAAAGTCGCACCGGTTTGGCCAGTCCGGCCACCTGAGCGCCCTCAGGGGAGCGCGGGCCTCGCCGCCACCGGAAACGGAAGCGCAGGACAGCAGGACCATGGCGACGCTGTTTGACCTCCCAGACTTGGTGCTCTTGGAGATCTTCTCATACCTCCCGGTCCGGGACCGGATCCGCATCTCCAGGTGCGGCCCCGCTCCTCGGGGGAAAGAGCCGGGCAGGGGCTCAGCAGGAGATGCGAATCCGGTCCCAGTAGGCCGGGGTCGTTCTAATGGCCGGTCCACTCCTCCAGGGTCTGTCACCGCTGGAAGAGGCTAGTGGACGACCGGTGGTTGTGGCGACATGTCGACCTGACGCTCTACACGGTATGCGATAGGCGGGACCCGCGGACAGTTCACGGAGAGCCAGCCTCCTGTCCAGAAGTGGGGTTCGCTTTGTTTTGCTTTCTAGTGTTTATTTGCTCGTTTTGTTTGTTTCTTTGGGGGAGGGGAAGTTGTTTTGAGACAGGGTGTCTAGCCCCGACTGGCCTCACGCTTCTTTAAGAAGCTGAGGATAACCTTGAATTTCTGATCCACCTCGACCTTCTATACAGGGATTACCAGCGTGGGCTCCCCATGACCGGTTTCTGTGATGCTGGCAATGGAATTTTGACTCCCTGAGTGTTAGGAAAGCACTTAAGCCAAGGGCTTCCAGCTCACTACCCCTGACCTCAACCCCCTTGGTGCTAAGATTACACAGGTATAGACCACTTTGTCTGGCTCAGAAGTATTTGATTTTTCTTTGTTGTCTCCCCCCCCCCCCCCCAAGACAGGGTTTCTCTGTAGCCCAGCTGTCTTGGAACTCACTTTATCCTCCTGTCTTTGGCTCTAAAGGTGGAGCTTGCACCGACATGCCCAGCTGGTTTGGTTTGGTTTCCTTCCTTCCTTCCTTCCTTCCTTCCTTCCTTCCTTCCTTCCTTC